AGCGAAGTGTGCCATCTTCGTCAGCCTATCCACGACGACCATCACCGCGTCGTTACCCCCAGAGTTCGAAGGTAACCCTGTGACGAAGTCCATGGTTACTTGCTGCCAGGCGCGTTCGGGCGGTGGGATCGGCTGCAATTGACCCGCCTTCCGCTTCCTTGAACTCTTCATCACCTGACACGTCGGGCACGAGCCCACGTGCTGCTGTACGTCGGTCAACAGCTCCGGCCAGTAATAATACCGCTGCAGTTGCTGTCGCGTTTTTTCTACCCCGAAATGTCCCGAGGTAATCCCGTCGTGTGCCTCCTGTAGTAGCAGCTCCCTCAGTAGTGAGTACGCGGGTACCCAAATGCGGTTGGTGCCTGTTTTTACGTAGTAAACTCCTTTTGCTTCTGCCAGTTGCTGTGAATTTCCGGTCGTGAAGAATGGGTCGGTGCTGTATCCGTGGGTGAATAGGCCAGTTAAAAGCAGGTTGGTCTGGGCGAGTAGGATGGCGTGGAGTTGGGCGGTGGGGCGGGTGAGAGCGTCGGCGATGTTGGATGCTCCTTTTTTGTACGTGACGGTGTAGTGAAAATTGGACTCGAGATAGTCCAACCAGCGAATCTGTCGTGGGTTGAGATTCGGTTGGGCGCGAAGGTACTGTAGCGAGCGGTGGTCTGTCCGTACTGTCACGTCGGCGCCAGTCAGGTAACATCGCCAAACTTTGAACGCGTGCACGATCGCTAGCATCTCGCGGTCGTGTATCGGGTAGTTACGTTCGGGCGGGTGTAGTTTGCGGGACTCGTACGCGATTGGCTGGAGGCCGTCCCCGAAATCCTGCAACAGTACTGCTCCCACAGCGATGTCACTTGCGTCGGTGACGAGCTCGAACGGACGGTGGGGATCTGCAATGTGAAGGACGGGCGTGGAGCACAAAATATTTTTGAGGGCCGAGAAGGCAGCTTGCTCTTTCTCCCCCCACGTGTACTCAACCCCCTTCCTCAGCAGGTCGGTCAACGGGGCAGTCAGCTTCGCCATGTCGGGGACGAACCGGCGCACGTAGTTGACGAACCCCAGGAAGCTCTGCAACTCGGTCAAGTTGGTCGGCGCGTGCCAAGCCTGAATCGTCGCAATTTTCTTCGGGTCTATTTCCACTCCCGCAGCTGAAATAACATGTCCCAGAAACTCCAGGCGGTCCTGTAAAAACTCACACTTAGATGCTTTGGTCAGTAGGCGGTTCTCACTCAGAATTTTAAAAACTGCTTCGATGTCTTGTAAGTGCTGTGCTCTGTCAGGGCTGTAAATCAGTATGTCGTCCAGATAAACGATGACGCACTTATCTAAAAGCGGGCGGAATGCTTCGTTCATGGTCATTTGGAAAGTGGCGGGGGCGTTGGTCAGTCCGAATGGCATGACAGTGTATTCGAAGGATCCGTAGCGTATTCGGAATGCGGTTTTAGGGCAGTCGGGTGGGTTGACGCGGATTTGGTGGTAGCCTCCTCGGAGGTCGATTTTCGAGAAAACCCGGGCTGTGCGCAGTTGGTCGATCAGTTCGTCGGCTCGTGGGATGGGGTAACGGGATTTGATGGTAACCCTGTTCAGTGCCCTGTAGTCGATACACATGCGAAACCCCCCGTCCTTTTTCGGTGTGAACAGTATGGGTGCGGCGAAGGGCGACGAACTGGGGCGAATGAATTCCTTTTCGAGCAGGTAATCGAGCTGCTTCCTCAGTTCGTCTAGTTCGGGTTGGGTCAGTCGGAACTGTCGCTGTACGGTCGGCTGTGCCCCCGGTTCCAGTTCTATCCTGTTATCGTGCGGTCGCTGAGGTGGCAGTCCCGTCGGCAGGTCGTCCGGGAAAATGTCACTGTACTGTTTTAACAGCGCTGCCAGATCACTCGGTACGTCGGTCCGCAGTTTCTGTAAATCCCCTCCCTTGTCTGCTGCCTCGGCTTCCCGAATGTCAACCGCGTACACGTCAGCTCCGGCCGCTACAGCGCGTTTCATCGTGATCGCATTGACACGCACCGACGAAGACTCAGGCGAGCCCCAGCGAGGTAAGGCGATGTTGTTACCGTTCACTCGCACAGTGCAGTCGCCCGTCGTCCAGTCGATTCGCGGATTGTGTCGTCGCAGCCAATCACGCCCGAATAAAATGTCGGTTCCGTCGAGGGTCGTTGCGAGCATTTCTTGGCTAAACGTGAAGTTACCCCCGCATCGAATCCGAACTCGGTCTACGCGTTCCCGTATTGCCAGCGGCGTGCCGTCTACCAGTCGTGCGTCGATCTCAGGTAAGCATCGGTCCAGTGGCAGTCGCAGTTTTCGTGCTGTAGCAGTGTTAATGAGGCTGTGGCTGGCTCCCCCGTCTACGAAGATTTTAACTAAGTCCGTCCCAATTTTCCCACTGAGCAGTATAGGGCTATCTACCGTGGTACCCTCCTTATTCGGTCGGGTGTGGTCGATTGCGTGAACCGGCACAATCACTCGGTGAGGGTCGGTTGGGTCGGGCGAGCGGCGTGACCTGTCAGTAGAGGGCCCGTCTGCTACTGACTTCCAGCGTTTCCCTGCTGCTTGGTCTGTGTCTGCTGCTCAGCTTCCCCCTTTCCCTTAGCGTTTTCCGGGCATTCGCTCTTGCGATGTCCCGGCCGATTGCACGCAAAGCAGCGCCCTTTGAACGGTGCGGCAGCGGCATTTGCGGCGACGGCGCGTATCGTGGCGCTCTCGTTCGTCCCACGAGGCCGATGTCCCCAGGTGTTGTTTCCGTAGGACCCCGGTCTCGGTCGGCGAAAGAAGTCGAGCTTCTCCGCCATAGCGAGAATTTCCTGAAACTCAGTGACGCCGCGAAGCTGGATTTCCTGAGCGATGTCCTGCTTCAGGCCGCCGATGTAGCGGTCGATGCGTTCGCTCTCATGCATGTAGCCCACCTGCTCGCATAGCGCCAGAAATCCGCTCGTGTAATCCTGGACGGAACCGAGTTGGCGCCAAGTGCGGAGCTTCTGTCGCGCCGAGATCGAGGCCGCGATTGGCTCAAATCGAGCGCGCAGACCTGCGCACCACGCGTCCCACGTGCGATACTGGGGCACCTCCACGAAATACGACGGCGCCCAGGGTCCGGTTTGTCCTTCCCGTGTCGGTAGTGTCGCGTAGTCGGTCGGCTTCGTGACGATGACGCGCCACCAGTCCATGGCGGGTCCTCGCAGCAACGACACGGCGTATCGAATCTTCGCCGAGTCCTCCGAGACGTAGTTGGCGTCGAAGAAGACGTTCATTGTGAATAACCACGCCTGGACGGTAGGACCACCCCGTTGACTCGGGTCAAAGCATGGCGGGCGCTGCGGCTTCAGCGGCATCGGTGACGGCAGTCCCGAATCGTGGGTTGGTGCCGAAATCGTGACGCGAGGCTGACTTGGGGCCGCATGCGTCGCTCTGGGGTGTGTCGTGCCGTGGTCGTCGTCTCCGTCGGGGCGGACGACGCCATCACTGGCCGCGCTCGCGGGTTGCCCCACACTCCCGTGTTGTGATGTTGAGGGTGCAGGTTGAATCGGAGTGCCAGGTGCTTGAGATTGTGCTTGTTGTGCCCTCATGAGGTCATTTTGCAGCGATGAGCGTTCTGCCGTTAATGCCGCGATTTCCTCGGAGCTTTCGTGTAGCTGTCGCAGCAGATCGTTCAAACGCTCCTGCGTGAGGGTGGTGACATCGATATTTTCAGCCATGACGAAGGGCGTCGGCTCGTCTTAGTCTAGGCGCGGTCGTGGCTGCACGCGTTTACGAGAGAACGCGAGGACAGCGGCTCCTAGGGGCTAAGGTGCGTGAGTCCCTTCGAGTGAAAAATCAAAAGTTGATTTCCTGGTGTGCGGAGATGCGCGGTCCGAAAGAAAGGGGCTCTGATACCAAGTGTTACGGGTGCAATGAATCGAAGTAGCGAGAATTGCACTAAGATGTCAAACGAGTACAAAATGTGAGCGAAGGCATGCGCGAACATTTATACGCGAAACATGCAAAACGGTAACGCAGTGCGTGCGAGCTTGCTAGTGCTACGCTGGAGCGAGGCTCGGGCTAGTCCCGAAGCGTAGGCCGATACGGCCATGCCAGCAGTGCGAGGTTTGGCAAAACAGTGCGCGCGAAGTCGGCGAAGTTCCGTTAGCAGTAACGGGCGAACAATCGGCTGTTTGCTGTACGCGATGTAGTCGGCTCCGTAAGGAATGCCGAGAAAATTCCTTACACTTCGTCATCTTCAACAATCTTCGCTGAACCGCCTTATAGTGAAACCCCCAGTGCTTGTGCGCCAAAAGAACGCGACCCTTCCACGAGCCTACGAACTTTCTAGCCTTCTGCTGCAGTGGCGAATGGCTTGTGCGCCAACAGAACGCGGCCTCCACCTTCAAACCACTTCGTCCATCCACCACCATTCACCCCACCAACTGCACTACTTTCTCAACTTCCCTCACTCTCTCCACCGCATCCGCTTGTGCTGCAGCCTTAGGCCTCCACTCAGCTCCAGTCAACCAGAACAGACCACAGGCAAGTAGGACCCAAATGTTCTAGCGTTGAACCCGCGTTATGGCGAGATGCTCATAGCTGGTGCTCTTTCCGTTAGCCTTTTTTTCTTATGTGGGTTACAGGTTGCCTCCACTCGTTGTGTGAATTCGATCCTTCGTTTGACCTAAACGCGCGAATCGTTACATTATAGCATTCTCTTCTCCGTTCCGTTGCCATAGGCGCTACCCTAGCCACTTCGTTACTTGCCGCCCCCTTAGTCTTCTTCCGGTGCGTCCGATACGCTTCTGCTGAGAGCACGCAAGTGCTCCATTACTCGTCGCCTTCGCCGCGTTTCTCCCCCTCCCCCGGTCGTATCCCTTCGTCAACCTATCCTCCGCGTGTGCCCTCGCAAACGCTCCGACATCGCGCATCTCCTGTCCCGCATCAGCCGCCGCCACTGCATGGCATGGTCGCATGAGCTTATGCACCCCCACCCCCACCACCGACCTGCGCGCGCACACGCCAAGGCCACCCGCCCCCCCGCCATGTCTCGCCAACACGTCAGAGGCCACTCGTACCACGAGGCGCAGAGGCCGCACCCCGCGCAGGGCTCGTCCGCCGTGCCCGTCACGGGCGGCGAGCGCGCCGCTGCAGCGGCGGCGCGCGCAGGCGGAGCGGAGGCCGCAAGGCCCGTGGCCGGCAATCTAGAGAGCTTCCTCGCGCACGTCACCCCGCACGTCAAACTGCACTTCCTCCCCCAGGTACCGCCTACCGCCTCCCCCGTTCTCTCCCACAGGTACCACCCTCTCCCTTTCTTTTCCCAGGTAACTCTCCCCTGCTCCCTTCCCCGTATAATGCCTTCCCTCTCCCCCCCCCGCTCATCTCCCCACCTCTGCACTCCGCGCGCCTCCCTCCTCCGCCACCCCCGCGCACAGGACTGGTGCGACGAGCACAGCAACGGCGCGCGCGCCAAGGCCCCCCCCGGCGCGCCTCCCGCAGCGTTCTTCGCGCTGAGCGACCTGTGGGACGCGCTGGAGGAGTGCAGCGCGTACAGCGCCGCCGTGCCGCTGCACCTCCCCCCCACAGGCGCGCCCGCCACGCAGCACTACGCGCCCTCCATCTCCGGCCTCCAGCTCTTCTCCCGCCTCCCCGCGTCCGCCGCGGGCCCCCCTGCGCCCGCGGGCCCCCCCGCCCCGCGCCTGAACTCGCGCAGCCCGCTGGAGCAGCCCAGCCTGGCGTCGTCCCCCCACTCCCCGCACTCCCCCCACTCCCCGCACTCCCCGCACTCCCCCCAATCCCCCCACTCCCCGCCGTCTCCCTGGGCGTCGTATCTGGAGGAGGGCGGCAATGGGCGGTGCGAGGAGGGTGCAGAGGCGTGGTGCCGTGACTGCAGCGGCGGGCGTCCGCTGCTGGAGTTCTTCGAGCGCGCACCGCCACACTGCCGCCCGCCGCTCTACACCAAGGTGCCTAACACATGCACCGCCACGCCACACTGCCGCCCGCCGCTCTACACCAAGGTGCGGAACACGAACACATGCACTGCTGCACACTCCTTGCCTTCTTGTCTTCCCGCATGCCTAGCCATGAACGTTGCGTTTGCCTTGCTGCTTTGTGTTGCCCCAAAGCATCGCTGCTTTGTGTTGCCCCAAAGCATCGCTGGTTTGTGTTGCCCCAAAGCATCGCTGGTTTGTGTTGCCCCAAAGCATCGCTGGTTTGTGTTGCCCCAAAGCATCGCTTGTTTGTGTTGCCCCAAAGCATCGCTGGTTTGTGTTGCCCCAAAGCATCGCTGGTTTGTGTTGCCCCAAAGCATCGCTGATTTGTGTTGCCCCAAAGCATCGCTGGTTTGTGTTGCCCCAAAGCATCGCTTCTGCAGCCAAGGCGTGTACTGTGCATGCCTCAGCTTGGGCTGCCCATGCGCCGCTGCTCCCAGAGTGGGTGCCGCTGCCTCCCTGTGTGTGCCGCTGCCTTGCCTTGCATGCCCCTCTGCGGTAGGCGGCAGAGGGAGCGGGCAGTGCGAGCTGGAGCTGAGAGCGCGCGTTTGAGTCAAGCCAAAACTCGATTCACTGTGTGCCGCTGGTCACTGTGTGCCGCTGGTCACTGTGTGCCGCTGGTCACTGTGTGCCGCTGGTCACTGTGTGCCGCTGGTCACTGTGTGCCGCTGGTCACTGTGTGCCCTCCTTCCCTGTGTATACACCCCCCCACACATGCCATGCCATGCCTTCCCATGCCATGCCATTTGATGCCATGCCATGCCATGCCTCACGACGGCAGGTAGCGGAGTTGGAGAGGGAGTGTGAGGTGTTGAAACGCACCTCGAGCTTGCAGCTGCATCCGCGCAGCTGGATCGCCATCGCCTGGTGTGTGTGCCTGCCCGTCCCCTTTGCAAGGGGGGGCTAGCACCCCCTTGCACCCCCACCTTACTGCGCTCTGCCACGCACTGTCCCTTGTGCCACATCGTGCCGCCGCGTCCCCTCTTTCACCACACCCACCCACCACACTCTCTGCACTGCACCCACTCGTTCCCCGATTTCCGTGTCTCCCCAACAATGCCCTCGTTCGCCGCTCCCGCACCCCCGTCCTGTCCCGTCCCACTGCCATCACGTTTTGAGACGTCTCACAGCTTGCACCCACACCCATGTTCTGTGCATGCTCCCCCCCGTCCTGTCCCGTCCCACTGCCATCACGTTCTGAGACGTCTCACAGCTTGCACCCACACCCATGTTCTGTGCATGCTCCCCCCCGTCCTGTCCCGTCCCACTGCCATCACGTTTTGAGACGTCTCACAGCTTGCACCCACACCCATGTTCTGTGCATGCTCCCCCCCGTCCTGTCCCGTCCCACTGCCATCACGTTTTGAGACGTCTCACAGCTTGCACCCACACCCATGTTCTGTGCATGCTCCCCCCCGTCCTGTCCCGTCCCACTGCCATCACCCCTCACACGCCCATCCCCCCTTCGAGCGCAGGTACCCGGTGTACAGCATTCCCACAGCCGTGGCACTGTCCCTTGTGCTCCCCCCCCTTCTCATCCCACGTGCCCATCACTCACGTGCCTCACTGCCCCCCTGCGCGCCCATCACCCCTGCCCACCCATCCCCCCTGCGTGCCCATCACCCCTCACGTGTCCATCCCTGCCTGCGAGCGCAGGTACCCGGTGTACAGCATTCCCACGGCCGCCACCACGCGGGACCTCGCCGCCTCCTTCCTCACCTTCCACAGCCTCTCCTCCCCTCTGCCCTCCTCCTCCGGTCAGCCCCTTGCCTCATCTGTCAGCAGCCCCTTGCCTGAATGATCAGCAGCCCCTGTCATTGTCGCGCCTTCTTTTTCAAGGCTGAAAAGAGAACTCGGATACTTTCTTGCTCGCTCCTTGTGCTGATTCCTTGCTTGTGTTCCCTCCCAAGCTGCATCCCTCCCAAGCTGCATCCCTCATGCGCTTTCGTACTCATCGTACATGCTTGCATGTCAAAGTAGCTCTTCTATTTGCCCGTACCTACCCGCTCTCACCCTCTCTCTGCACCCCAGGGTCGTGCAGCCTCTGCAGAGCCAGGTTCTGGATCGCGCCGCCCTCCTTGCCCGTCTTCCAATCCGCCAAGCACGTGCCCGCCCGCCCATCGTTGGATTCAGCTGACGGGGCGAGCGAGGGGAGGCAACGGGGGGTTTTCACGACGCCTCTGGTGCCGTTTGGCTTTGCGGGGTACAAGACGTGGGGGACGGTGTGGGCGGACCGGGGGGCTGTGCGGGGCCTGGAGGTGGCGGCAACGCAATGGCTCAGGCAGATTGATGCCAACCTGCCCGACCATGCCTTCTTCTCCAGGCAGCGATAGCCGAACAGAAGAGCGTAACTTGTTCTGTTGCACATTTATTGGTGCTTTTAATGTTAACAAGTGAATGAATGATCAAAATGAGGGCATGCAGTTGGGATACAGGAACACATGGATATGTATGTGTACTTTGACCCACCCTCTAGGCTTGGTGAGGGGCAGTGCCAAGGAGAGCAACAACTCAGGGTAACTGGAATTCAACCCCCCCTCCTCCCCAACTTGGGTGTTGTTGCATAACACGGCCCTTATACTGCATCGTTGCGGAGCGAGCTCCCCTGATTCTTTCGATACACTAGTTCAAAAAGAAACACTGCATCAATTCCAGAATTAAAATTTCACAATATGATCACTACTGGTACCCTATTATCTAGGACTACCGTATCTAACCTATGCAAGCATCATCTCGGGCAGCCAGACACCAGCCTCAATCTTGAACAAGCAGGGAGGACAGATTCGAGTGAACAAGAAGCAATGCAGCAAGGCAGCGTGCACCCATCCCCTTCCAGCCACCGATTCCAGCCAGCATCCCAAACACCCTGACAGGCAGGGTGCAAAAAGTGTTGCTCCTCCGTCACATCCCACTCTCCCTTGCCTCCCCCCACCGCCATGCCACGCCCAGCTGCATTTCCCCCTTCTGCTGCCCCCTCCCCTCCACACTACCCCCCTCTCCCCTTCCTCTCCTCCACCCATGACCCTCACCACCACCTCCCACTCCTGCTCTTCCCCTTGCTGCTCCCCCCGCTGCCCCCGAGGGCGCGGATCATGGCGGGGTGGTGGCACACGTGCGCCATGGTGAGCCTCTCCTCCGCGCGCACTCTCAGCATGCCGCTCACCAGCGCGCGGCACTCCTCCGACACGCCCTCCCACGCAGCGCCCTCCACACGCGCCCGCCACTCGCCCTGCTGAGGCGCCTCCCCTGAGTAAGGCCGCTCGCCTGCGATCATCTCGTAAAGCGTCACCCCCAGCGACCACACGTCAGCTGCGCGCCCATACCCCGCTGCCTCTGAGTTTCCTGCCTCTGCTCCCCCCGCTGCTTTTCTAGCGTGCTTGGCGGCGCCCGGGGCGGGCGGGCAGCGAGGGCGGCAGAGGGCCTCGACCTCAGGCGCCATGTACCCGGGCGTGCCTGCGGGAGTGCTGCACCCGCGCTGCCCCTCCGCCACCACCTGCGCCAACCCAAAGTCCGCCAGCCGCACTGCCCCCGCGGCCAGGCGGGGGGAGGTGCGCGCGGAGGAGACGGGCGCGGACAGGCCGAGGGCAGCGGGAGGGGCGCGCGCAGGCGCAGCAGGAGCAGCAGCGGCGGAGAAAGGCAGGGGGACGGTGAGGGGCGCGGAGAGGGGCGTGGGAGTGGCGAGGAGGATGTTATCGGGCTTGACGTCGCAGTGCACCACGCCTCGCTCGTGGCAGAACGCCACGGCGTCGCCCACGTGCTTCACCACTTCCAGCGCCTCCGCCTCCGCCATTCCCCCTCCCCGCCCGCCTTCCCCGCTCGCCTTCCCCCACCACCGCCTCCCGTTGCCTCTCCCCGCGTCCCCCGCGCCGTTGCTTGCGGCAGCTTTGCGTCGCTGCATGAGGGCGCGGAGGTCGCCACCAGAGCACAGATCGGAGAGCATGTACGCGTGCTGCTCGCCCAGATGCACCTCGCGCACGCCCAGCACGCCCGGGCACTCGCTCAGCGACGCCGAAAGCATCGCCTCGTTCGACGCCGCCACCAGCTGCTTTCGCTCCACGCGCTTCACCGCCACCACCTCGCCGCTCTCCACTCGCCGCATCGCCACCACCGTGCCAAACCCGCCACGCCCCAACTCGCCGGTTGTCTCGAACAGCTCGGGGTCCAGCACACCGTCGTATGCGCTCAGCACGAGCGGCCGACGGCACGCGCGCGGGGCAATGCGTGTAGCAGCGGCGCGGGGAGCGGGAGGTGCATGGACTAGAGGCGGCGCAGGTTTCGCGGATTTAGCGACGGCAGCGGCAGAGTCGCCGGAGCTGGAAAACGTCGAAGCGACGGACGAATCTGACGAGGCGACGAGGTCAACGTTGATCGGCGTGGGTTCCGTCGACGAGGTGGACGCCTCGGACGGCGCATACCACGACGCCGTGACGAGACCTGCCAGCACGAACGAGGAGGAGAAACGGTTGGCACTCGCGTGCTAACCTAACTCTCTCTCGCGTCTACCTGAAAAGACAAAGGGATTTCCTGGAGAAAGGGAGAAAGAGAGAGGTAGAAAAAGGGGGGGTAGAGGACCAAGGCTCGCGTTAATTTCGACGAGAATGTCAGATAGGAAAGGGCGGCTCAAAAGACGAGTGAGACTAAGCTTCCCGTCAGAAAAAAATCGGTTGCTTACCTTCCAACTCAATCTCTTGTTCGGGCGCTTCGGGTTGGCCTTCGCTGGTCGATTTCGCCAAAGGCTTGCATGAGAAAGCGGTACTATAAACCGACGGCTGGGCCATCCAGATGTCCATGGCGAGGAGCGTACGTAAGCGACTGTAAGGCTCTCAAAGGCTATTGGTAACGAAGATCGCACCGTTTCAGGCGGATGGGACTTGTAAGGCTCTCTCAAAGGCTATTTCAGGTCTGTGTGAGGGCCAAAACAAGGAGGCAGAAGATAAGTTGTTGGAGGAAGTTGTGTTGTGTGCACTGAGCAAAAGAAGTGGCAGGAAATGGCTGGACTTGTATTGCATGCAAATAGACCAGGGAGGGAGGGACCCAGGGGAGGGAGGGGAGTGAGGAGGGTGGATGAGCGGCTCGACTGCTGGCGAGGACACCACTGCCAGAGCAAAAGTCGGTCCAGCGATAATCGCGGATACAAACCACTTTGAACTATGCCCGAACCTGTCAGGCTCGTCAAGGCTCGAACCCTATCCCCGACATTTGCTTCGCTAGAATTTCGCCTTTTCTGTTTTGCTACGCCACTGTAGCGGGATTTGTTTCAGACTTCCTGCCGGGCCTCAACAAGGAGATTTCCCGAACCTAAAATTCAGCCGTTGACTCTGTTGCCCAAGTCAGGTTTGGCGGGAAGACCGCAGTGTGTGGGAAATGACAGACCCGCGCAAGTTTGCAGAGCACTCCACTACAAAGCCCTCCAGAAAACGTTTGTTAGACAAATATGACATTCTCAACAACAAAAACAAAATACAATTGTTTCGTGCAATTGAATGAACGAGCGAGGATTGCACTGAAGGCCCACGAGATGAACGATGTGAATGAAGCCATGAGCGAACATTTAGTAGCGAAACATGCAAACGCGGCTTCGAACAACTGATGTCATGCTGGCAGCGAGGTTCGGGCTTATACGGTAAGTGGAAACAATATACGGTACGGTAGAGTGAAAATGTACAAGCTTCTGCGATTTTGATGTTGATCCAAGTTGGTTATAGACGGCGCCATGACGAAAAGGTGCCTCGAAACATCCACTTCAAGGAACGACATGGGCACAAAACCATGCGTGGCATGCTCTTGGGCAATGCAGCTCCATGCTTGCATCCATCGCAAGGGATGTTGAGTTGAGTGCATGTGAGAGCATACATGCTACCATGCATGCATGCAAGAGCAGACATGCTACCATGGATGCGAACGCTGTTAAACCAGACAGTCAATGAAAGGGTGAGGGCGTGGATGTGTGAGGGCATGTCAATGTGAGCATGAATGCGCGTGAGAGTACAAGTGTGAACACAGGTGAGAGCACGAGAGTGAATGCACGTGGAAGCATGAGTGTGAATGCACGCAAAAGTACGAGCGTCAATACCCGAGAGAGAATGAATATATGTCATAGCACACCAACGAACCGGTGATCAGCCGAGCTGTGCTTGCAGCGCGCACACCCACGATCGCAGCAGCGGGGACCACGGGGCACAGGGGAAGGCAGAGAGCAGGCAGACTGCCACCTGGGAGGAGCAAGGAGCAGGGGAGGTGAAAGGGAGGGAGGGGAGAAGAATAAGAGCGCATTAAGCATCCATCACCAAACATGCCATTCAATCAAGGGTTATTGAGGAATCCGCAAAAAACAACTCAACCCACATGCCTTACCATCCTCCACCACACATAGCACTCTTGGAGTTATGAGTGGTCTACTTTCATTCACGTCATGGCAAGTCCAAGCAGACAGCTAAGTCCCATCAGACACTCAATCAGTCACCAAAGCAGCCCTTTTCAGCACCGCTGCTCCTCTGCGTCCCCCTTGTCGCCCCAACTGCCCCACCAATCGTCTCCTGGTGCTGTCATCACGTCCCACCAAGTCACCTTCTCACACAACTGCTCCCTCGTCTCCCCCTCCCATCCACCCTCTTTCTCCCCCTCCCATCCAACCCCCTTCTCCCCCTCCCATCCCCCCCCTTCCCCCTCTCCTCCACCCCTCTTCCCCTCCCATCCACCCCGCTTGCCCTCTCCCATCCACCCTTCTTCTCCCCCTCCCATCCCTCTCCTCACCTGCCATGCCACTCGCCTGACAGCCCTCTCCTCGTGCCCCGCCAGGCACTTCACCACCACTGCTGCCACTCGCACCCGCACCCCCTCCTCCCCCTCCTCACGCCCCCTCCACCGGGCCAATGGGCGGCTGACACGTGGCAAAAGGGAGGAGGTGGTTAGAGGAGTCATATGCAGAGCCAGTAGCGGCAGAGCTTGTCGAGACGGGGAGAGGTGGAACGATTGCGGGTGCACCGAGTATGGTTGCACCGATGCTTGGGCAGCTGGAAATCGGTCAGACTGTTGCTGCTGCTGCAGCTTCACCGCCATGTGCTCATCCGCCTCTGCTTGACTCATGAGTACATTTCTTTTCACTCCAGTCTGCTTGGTTTGCTGCGGGAGAGGAAGGTGTGAGAAGCGCTGCAGATGGCGTGTGAGGGAGAGGGGCAGGGGTGGCGGTGGGGAGGCGGGGAGAGCGAGGGAGAGGAGGAGGGGGAGAGTGTGGAGGGCGAAGGGAGGAGAGACGTCACAGAGGAAGGTGAGCGCGAAGAGAGCTGCATGGCGCTGCTGGGGTGGTTGGGTGGGGCGTGCGGGTGTAGGGGGAGAGGGGGATTGGGTGTGAGTGTTGTTGAACAATAGAGCGACGGAGGGGAGGAAGATGAGAACGAAGAGAGCTGTATGGCGCTGAGGGTGGGCGAGTTGGGGGAAAGGGGCAGGAAGAGGAGGGAGAGAAGGATGGTAAGATGGGAGAGAGGGATAAAAGGGAAAGATACGTAGAATGGAGGGAACGAAGGGGGGTTGAGGATGAAGGGGGCAGAGACAACACAGAGGAATGTGGCCGCAAGGAGAGCTGCGTGGAGGTTGGGGTGGGAAGACAGTTGCAAGGGAAAGTAAGGATGGAGAAGCAGTGAAAGCGAGGACTTGGAGTGAAGTATGGCAGCATGGAGGTTGGGGTGGAGAGGGAAGGACCGGGTTGAGGTAAGGGAGGAAACCGCGAAACAAGGGAGGGGAGGACAGGCGGCTATATAGGCAGCACGAAGGAGAGCAGGAGGAGGTGTGAGATGGGCGAGGTACAGCGAGTGAGGGAGGGGAATCGCGAGAACACACAAAAGCGAAGAGCAAGCAAGGCCTGCAGAATAATGACAACAAAAACGAACACACACACGCACGCACGCACACAACCACCCAACCACCACCTTTCTTTTTCCCCCTCCACCCACCCAACCAACCCCCTCCTTTCCCCGTTTTCTCCACCAGATACACAACACTCGCACACACGCACGCACACACACACACACACACAGGCACACAGGCACACACGCACACACGCACACACGCACACACGCACACACGCACACACGCACACACGCACACACGCGCACACGCGCACACGCGCACACGCACACATGCACACACGCACACACGCACACACGCACGCATGCAAACCTAAACACACCACCCACCTCACCTCCTACTTCCCCTTATCCCCCTTTTTCTCCCCCTCCCCCCCCCCACCCCAACACCTCACTCACCTCCTGCTGTCCCTCTGCTTTCATCGCCGCCCGCACCACCAACTCCTGCACGTGTGCCACGTCAGCAGCCAGCGGAGCGAGGCAGCCAATCAGGCGCAGTGTGAGACAGCGGGCTTCAAGGGAGTCAACTGTGGGTGTGCCTGCTGGGTAAGTGGCAGCTGTTGCTGCTGCTGGTGCTGCTGCTGCGGTGGGTGGGAGTGGAAAGGAGGAGGAGCGAGAGAGCAGAGGGGCGATCCTGGTGATGACTTGGGTTGGGTTCAAGAGCTTCCCAGCACTCAACACACCCGCCCAGTCACTGGCGCCGCCAGCACCACCATCACTGCCAGCAGTATCATCACAATCGCTATCACCATCACCATCACTCTCATTGCAATCATCACTGCCATTACTGCCGCTCGCACTGTTGCTTCCATCATCACCAAAACTATCACCACCACTTTCTCTCTCTCCTTCCCTCGTGACCACTCTGTCTCCCCTTCTTCTCCCTCCCCTCCACACATCCCTCACTCACTCTCCCTCCCTCCTCCACCGCCACTGCAGCAGGCTGACGTCATGCATACTGCTGACGTCAGGCATGGCGCCACCACCCGCGTCACACCTCCCGGCACCGGGGGGCGTTCTCAGGGCGGCAGGTGAGAGTGAGGGGGCAGCGGGTGCAGCTGACGTGGCATGATGAGATGCAGGAGAGGGCGGAGAAGGAGGAGAAGGAGCAGGGGCATATGGAGGAGAGGGAGGAGAAAGAGGGAGAGGGGAAGTGGCGGTGGAGAGGTGGAGGAGGAAGAGCTTGAGAATGCAGAGGCGGGTGGCGCTGCTGCTGCTGCTGCTGAAGGCATCAGCCAGGCGCAGAACCAACGAACTGAATAGTACCACGTCACTCTCAGACACAGGGGCTTGTTGCTGCTGCCCCTGCTCCTCCCACCCGCTCCTCCTCCGGCTCTCCGTCTCCCTCCCCCTCTTCCTCCTTCTCCCCGCCCCTGCGCTCCTCCCTGGCTGCTGCGCCAGCGTCCAGTGCACGAGGGCAGGCCCGGCTGCGAGAATTCCGTGGCACTGAGTGGCTGAGAGGGCGGGGACAGGCGGAAGGGTGGAAAGGGTGGGAGAGGGAGTGAGAGGGAGGGATGCAAGGGAGAGAGGAGAGAGAGGGGATCCAGGGGATAGGGTGCGGAAGAGCGGAGAGAGGGGAGAGAGTGGGGAAGAGGGGAGAGGGAGTGGGCGAGTGAGGCGAGTGTAAGGTGCGGCGCCGAATGTTTTTCCTCTGCTGCGAGGCCGCTAGAGCGGGGCGAGCGGAGTGCAGAGAAAGCAGCGCGGCTGACGGTGGCAGGAGACGGGGACGAGGACGAAGGCGGGGAGCGGAAAGGGCTGAAGGGAGATTGGGACGAGGTGGGGGCGAGTGGAGGAGCGGGCGAAAGGTGGTTAGTGACGCCGTTGAGATTCGCCGGAACGGAAGCAGGCGATGGCATGACAAGGCACAGCGGGTGAGAATGACAAGGCAGGGAGAAGGAGGCGGCTCGGCGTGGAGCAGAAGAACGACTCTTTCGCAGTGACGATGGAAGCGGCGCGGAAGTGAGGACTAACACCTAGTGATCAATAGATCCGCGCGTACGGAACTCAGGGTTTGAACTCCAGTGAGTTTAGGGTTACGATTAATTGCGATTTTAGGGTTACGCCGGTTACATGTGCTGCGCACCGTGGTTTCAACGGCGACCCACCAGGCTGCGTGGAGCGCAAGGTGCGCTCGAGATGCGCCATCCAATCCGCCGACGATTCGCCATCACGAAACGCCATTACGTCCTTACCAATACCAGCTGCAGCTCTCGAGCGGAACTAATCGCGGCCTTGATTTGGGCACAACGGTACGGCGTGGAACATTTGTAAGCAAACATTGCAATTTGGCAACCCCCTCTCTGCTCGATGCTTGGGTTGGATCTGCAGGGTCAACAGCTTTTGGGAGCGGTTTCCGTCTAGGAGCAATGGTGCGGAGTGTTCTAAAGCGGTAGAAACAAACACGACCCACCTTGGCATGCTCAATCGACGTGTACACAGATAATCAGCCGATCTGTCAGACAGCGCTGGTTGCGGCTCAATGGCCGTCAGACAGCGCCTCGGTTTCACCCTTTTCTCTCCTGCCACTACCCAGATGTGTCAGCAACTGTCGCGTCGCGAAATATTCGCGCGCGTCGGTGCGCGCCCTTTCCAAAAATGTCCCACCCACCAGCAGCACCATTTTTCCCAGCGCCGCGTTGCCAGTCCCGCCTGCGTCCCCCACCCCACCATCACATCAACAATACAGCACAAACCAGACGAACCCCAATTTCACTCCCTGCGCTGCACTAGCTCAACTCGTCTTCACTCGAAACAGACCACTAACGCCACACCACCCGTCGCACTGGTCAACCATTCGTCGTCAATTCTGGTTCCTGATCTACCACTGCTATGCTATGTGACACATTCGATCCTTTCTCTCGATTTTCACCATCAGTTCGTAACGTCGCCTCAGCACGATAAGCTGTTACGACTTCCGTTTCGCTTTTCACGATGGCGCACTATCGATCAGCACGAGCAAGGCTGCCTTCGCTCATGCAGAGGCTGTTCCTCCTGGCATGCGTGGCGCTCCTGCTCCCGCTGTCGCAAGGTGTGTATCTCTGTCGTATTTCGCCGGCAGCGGCACGGTGCGGCATGGCATAACGTCGCCGGCTCCTCCTTGCCTGTGCCTCCTCGCTGCTACGAAACGCTAACCGTTTCTTGTGACAATCTCGCAGGCAAATGGGTGAGCCACCTGTCGTCGTATCGAGCGTATGAGCGCCGCTTGGCATCGGCGGAAGGACCAACAATCGGGACAGAACCGCGCGAATCCTCGGGATCTGATACGATCACTCCCGGCGGCTTGACTCTCAACTCCTTAGAAGGACCGGATTCGCCCAGCCGGCCCGCCTTTTCCCCTCTTCTGCGCGGATCTGCGCTGGCCGCAGCGGCTTCCGCGGAACTCCTCTCTCGGGGGACTCGAGAGGCGACGGAAATACCACTGGCCGCAGCGATTGTGGCGGAAGCTTAGGAGGCGAACGCGGTGTGGGCGGAAAGCGCGCGCAGCGTGCTTGGGGGCGGGCAAGGGGCGGAGGAAGGGGATTGGGTTGAGGGAGAGGCAGGGAGGCTTGCTCGGAGGCGGAAGCAGTGAGACGAGATGTGACGAGCGTCGTCAAGCGACGTGCGATGGCGGGCGAGCTCGCTGCGCTGCTGTTACTGCCACGTCACTGCTTGCGGCTGGCGCTAGTAGCGGTCGAGCAGGGGGGCATACAGCTGTATGGAGCGGCGTGGAGCGGGCGGCGGGGAACAGGCGGCGTGGATTAATCAGTCAGAAGCAGCGCCACTATTAGGCGCTGCCGAACTGCGGTGCTGCTGAGATTTGTGATTTGTGCAGCTGGGGTCCCTGGCGCTTTGCATGCAGAACTCTCCTGCTCGCCTTCTCCTGTAGTGTGCTGCTGACGAGAGCGGCGGGTTGGGGGAGGGGGTTTTGAAAGGAGAAATGCGCAAGGGTAGGGGAGCAGCACAGGCGCAAGGGTAGGGGAGCAGCACAGGCGCAAGGGTAGGGGAGCAGCACAGGCGCAAGGGTAGGGGAGCAGCACAGGCGCAAGGATAGGGGAGCAGCACAGGCGCAAGGGTAGGGGAGCAGCACAGGCGCAAGACTCAGCAGTCGCACGAGTCTTGCTGCGGGGACAGTCACGAGTCTTCAGCAGACGCGCCAATAGCATCCTCTTTATAGGGATCATTGTCCGCACTTTTATCCCCCTTTGTACAGAATGCTGGCAGGCGAAAAGGGGGGACTGTGCGCAAGTAGACAGTATGGATTCAGCAGCCTACATGTTTAGGTACAGAGTCGAGTAGCCTGGAGAAGCAGGGAGCAGTAGGGAGCAGCAGGGAGCAGTGAGGAGCAGCAGGGAGCAGTGGGGAGCAGCAAGGAACGTGTAAGCATGCTCACTGTCAAAAGAGCGCGTTGAAAATCTCTTCGTCCGTATACATCTCACGTGGTGGCTTGGAGTAGGCCAGAGGGCTGGACTGGCCTCCCAGTCCCACTCATATCAAGTCTCGCTCAGTGCGACTGTAGGAGCCACCCTCCGGATTGTACTGTAGTCTTTAATCTTTTAGCTTTGTACGCTCTCTTGGTTGCTGTTCCTGGCCTGGCCAAAAAAAACCCGCCAAGCATTTCACCAGAGAAGCACATCCTCCTCCTCAATTCCATCCTTTCTCGCCATCTCACCGAGCAGCCTTCTCCAAGAGTGTTGAGCATGGCAGTGGATTGGTCCTAGAAGGCCAGGCCTCTTTGGAGTCGACAAGCAGTGACAGGCTTGATACACGGATGGGGGGAATACTTGTGAAATCATTTAGTAGATTATGCCTTTGCTTGCACTTCGGTGTGTGTGTGTGTGTGTGTGTGTGTGTGTGTGTGTGTGTGTGTGTGTGTGTGTGTGTGTGTGTGTGTGTGTGTGTGTGTATGTGTGTGTGTGTGTGTGTGTGTGTGCGCACAACCGATCTGCAACGGGTTTATAAGTGAATTTCGCTTAGCAGCCAGACTTAAGGAATAGTTAGCTACTACCATTCAAGTATTAGGTGCATCTAGCCTAATACCATCTAATGAGATGCAACTAGCATACCGTGCATTCACGTGCTTTACCAGTGTACCTGAATACAAGACTGATAAGGCGCTTTGCTTTGCGCTTTGCAAGCACGGATGGAAAACCTAGAGCCCGACTAACCAGTACCGTAACCATGCTTCATTGCACGGATGCTAAACAGCTCAAAGCGAAGCACAACACTTGGTTCAGTGTATCAGCGGGCCTCCCTCTTGAGAGCTTGGTCCACATGCAGAGCATCTGGTGCGGCGACTGGTAGAGGTATTCACTACCGTATAACCAGAACTAGTACCATTCACAAAGCAGTCAGATTAACTAGGTGCAGCACCTGGCCTCGCCTCTGGACAGCTTGGTCCACATGCAGAGCATCTGGCGCGGCGACTGGTAGTGCGCGGTGAGGTAGTCGTCCATGCAGCCGAACTGGCAGAAGCGCCAGTTGTGGATGTAGTGGATGGTGTTGTTGATGCCGTACTGCACCACCCACATGCCCATGCTCACGTCCTCCATCTTGAATATCTGATGGGCCAGAAAGGGGGGTAAGAGAGGAAAGGGGGAGGACGGCGGACGGCGGGTAAGGGGGGGTAAGAGAGGAAAGGGGGTATGAAAGGAAGAGTGCAATGCGGGTTAGGCTGATGTGAGTGCAATCGACGTATGCTGAAAATCTCCCTTGGGAATACGTGGAGGGATTATGCAGAGGGACTAGATGCAAGGGGCTGCATACATAACACGATGAAGGCAGCAATGTCATGCATGCACCCTGTTGTGTTGGCCCGTGGCATGACATGGTGAGGGATGTGTTGCTGCAACCACAATCTCTCAACCTCCCAACCCCATCACCACCGCTCTGCACCCACCCGCAGCATCTTGTACTCCTTCATGCGCACGATGAAGTCAGCAATGTCTCGCGTGATGATGTACCCTGGCCCGTTGGCGTATGGTGGGTAGTTGGTCTCCGGCCACTCCTGGTGGTTGGGCCAGGGGGGTGGGCGGCCGGGTGCAAGCATGGGGAGAGGATCGGGGCAGGGATGGGAGCAGGGATGGGGTGACTATTGAGTGGACTATGATGTCCCGCGTGATGATGTACCCCGGCCTGTTGGCGTACGGCGGGTAGTTGGTCTCTGGCCACTCCTCGTGGGGGATGGACGGCAGGGGATGGACGGCAGGGGATGGGGACAGGGATGAGGGCAGGGATGGGGGCATGATGGCATGGGATGCCATGGATTGGCGAATACAGCCCACCCACAAACGGCCCAGTGCCCAATTCCCAGCGGCTCCTTAGTTTGCCTCTCCCTCTCCCCTCCCTTCCCTCCTACTATGCAGTCGTTGTCGTCTCCTCCCACCTCTTCAGACACGGCCCATTTCCCTTGTGGAACTCGTTGATGTTGTCCATGTACAGCCCGCTCGCATGCTTCGCTTTCTCCCTGTATCTCGCCCCACCCTAACCGCTCCTCTCCTCTCCTCTCCTCGCCTCACCTCTTCAGACACGGCCCACTTGCCCTCCCTCAGCGGCTTGTGGAACTCGTTGATGTTGCCCATGTACAGCCCGCTCGCATGGTTGGCGAATCGGATCTCGTCAAACACAGCGTCAAGGCGTACAAAGTTGTCGTCGTCCACCTTCATTATATAGTTGGTTGATACGTTGCGGAGCTGTATGGGAGGGGGGAGGAGAATGGGGGAAGAAGGGTTTTGGTAGGGATGTGAGGAAGGGGGGACGGGAAATGGAGAGTGGACGAAGGGACCTCGTGGAACACAGCGTCCAGGCGCACAACGTTGTTGGCGTCCGTCCGTCAAGGCTCATGATGTACCTGCGCATGTTGACTTGCTGCCTTCCACATGAGTTTCACACATTGCGCAGCTGTATGGGAGGAAGGCAGCAAGTTGGGGGGGGGGGGGGGGGGGGGGGGGGGGGGGGGGGGGGGGGTCGGACTTGGGCAATACACGTGTGGAGACACACCAAGGTTGTCTTCGTCCACCTTCATTATGTGGCTGGTGCTCATGTTGCGCACCAATGTTATGGGAGGAAAGGATGGGGGCAGGCAGGTGAAAGACGGAGAAAGAGGAGCGAGACGAGCCTGAGGTAGAGCATGGTACAGAATGTTATCGCGTGAACGGGAGCTCCAGGTGGCACGAGCCCCAGGTGGCACGAGCCCCAGTCAACAGCACTGCACGTGGGCGAGGGATGGGACGAGATGGAATGGAGTTGGGACCCCACCCCACCCCACCCCACCCCACACCATGCAGCACACCATGCAGCACACACACACTCACCCCGAACTCGCAGATGGCGATGGTCTTGAGCACGACGAGGTCGTAGCGGTCGATGAACGGCAGCACCACCATGTCTCCGTACAGCGCGGCTTCCTTGTGCACCTCCACGTTCACCTGGATGCTCGGATGCTGCACATTGGGGGGAGGGGTGGGATGGGGTGGAGAGGGATGTGAGTGAAGGGCAGCAGCACCATGTCTCCGTAGAGAGCGGCCTCCTTGTGCACCCCCACGTTCACCTGGATGCTCGGATGCTGCACGATGGGGGTGGGGGTTACAGTGACGGGGAGTGGAGAGCATGGCAGTGAGTGAAGGGCAGCACCACCATGTCTGCATGCACCACCATGTCTGCATGCACCACCATGTCTGCATGCACCACCATGTCTGCATGCATCACCATGTCTGCATGCACCACCATGTCTGCATGCACCACCATGTCTGCATGCACCACCATGTCTGCATGCACCACCATGTCTGCATGCATCACCATGTCTGCATGCACCACCATGTCTGCATGCACCACCATGTCTGCATGCATCACCATGTCTGCATGCACCACCATGTCTGCATGCATCACCATGTCTGCATGCACCACCATGTCTGCATGCACCACCATGTCTGCATGCACCACCATGTCTGCATGCACCACCATGTCTGCATGCACCACCATGTCTGCATGCATCACCATGTCTGCATGTCTGCATGCACCACCATGTCTGCATGCACCACCATGTCTGCATGCACCACCATGTCTGCATGCACCACCATGTCTGCATGCACCACCATGTCTGCATGCATCACCATGTCTGCATGCATCACCATGTCTGCATGCACCACCATGTCTGCATGCACCATGTCTGCAATGCACCACCATGTCTGCATGCACCACCATGTCTGCATGCACCACCATGTCTGCATGCACCACCATGTCTGCATGCACCACCATGTCTGCATGCACCACCATGTCTGCATGCACCACCATGTCTGCATGCATCACCATGTCTGCATGCACCACCATGTCTGCATGCACCACCATGTCTGCATGCACCACCATGTCTGCATGCACCACCATGTCTGCATGCATCACCATGTCTGCATGCATCACCATGTCTGCATGCATCACCATGTCTGCATGCATCACCATGTCTGCATGCACCACCATGTCTGCATGCACCACCATGTCTGCATGCACCACCATGTCTGCATGCATCACCATGTCTGCATGCACCACCATGTCTGCATGCACCACCATGTGATGCATGCACCACCATGTGATGCATGCACCACCATGTCTGCATGCACCACCATGTCTGCATGCATCACCATGTCTGCATGCAACACCATGTCTGCATGCACCACCATGTCTGCATGCACCACCATGTCTGCATGCATCACCATGTCTGCATGCATCACCATGTCTGCATGCACCACCATGTCTGCATGCACCACCATGTCTGCATGCACCACCATGTCTGCATGCACCACCATGTCTGCATGCACCACCATGTCTGCATGCACCACCATGTGATGCATGCACCACCATGTGATGCATGCACCACCATGTGATGCATGCACCACCATGTCTGCATGCACCACCATGTCTGCATGCACCACCATGTCTGCATGCACCACCATGTCTGCATGCACCACCATGTCTGCATGCACCACCATGTCTGCATGCACCACCATGTCTGCATGCACCACCATGTCTGCATGCATCACCATGTCTGCATGCACCACCATGTCTGCATGCACCACCATGTCTGCATGCACCACCATGTCTGCATGCACCACCATGTCTGCATGCACCACCATGTCTGCATGCACCACCATGTCTGCATGCACCACCATGTCTGCATGCACCACCATGTCTGCATGCACCACCATGTCTGCATGCATCACCATGTCTGCATGCACCACCATGTCTGCATGCACCACCATGTCTGCATGCATCACCATGTCTGCATGCACCACCATGTCTGCATGCACCACCATGTCTGCATGTACCACCATGTCTGCATGCATCACCATGTCTGCATGCACCACCATGTCTGCATGCACCACCATGTCTGCATGCATCACCATGTCTGCATGCATCACCATGTCTGCATGCACCACCATGTCTGCATGCACCACCATGTCTGCATGCACCACCATGTCTGCATGCACCACCATGTCTGCATGCACCACCATGTGATGCATGCACCACCATGTCTGCATGCACCACCATGACTGCATGCATCACCATGTCTGCATGCAACACCATGTCTGCATGCACCACCATGTCTGCATGCACCACCATGTCTGCATGCACCACCATGTCTGCATGCACCACCATGTCTGCATGCACCACCATGTGATGCATGCACCACCATGTCTGCATGCACCACCATGTCTGCATGCATCACCATGTCTGCATGCACGACCATGTCTGCATGCACGACCATGTCTGCATGCACCACCATGTCTGCATGCATCACCATGTCTGCATGCATCACCATGTCTGGATGCACCACCATGTCTGCATGCACCACCATGTCTGCATGCACCACCATGTCTGCATGCACCACCATGTCTGCATGCACCACCATGTCTGCATGCAACACCATGTCTGCATGCACCACCATGTCTGCATGCACCACCATGTCTGCATGCATCACCATGTCTGCATGCATCACCATGTCTGCATGCACCACCATGTCTGCATGCATCACCATGTCTGCATGCATCACCATGTCTGCATGCACCACCATGTCTGCATGCACCACCATGTCTGCATGCACCACCATGTCTGCATGCACCACCATGTCTGCATGCATCACCATGTCTGCATGCACCACCATGTCTGCATGCACCACCATGTGATGCATGCACCACCATGTCTGCATGCACCACCATGTCTGCATGCATCACCATGTCTGCATGCACCACCATGTCTGAATGCACCACCATGTCTGCATGCATCACCATGTCTGCATGCATCACCATGTCTGCATGCACCACCATGTCTGCATGCACCACCATGTCTGCATGCACCACCATGTCTGCATGCACCACCATGTCTGCATGCACCACCATGTCTGCATGCACCACCATGTCTGCATGCACCACCATGTCTGCATGCACCACCATGTCTGCATGCACCACCATGTCTGCATGCACCACCATGTCTGCATGCACCACCATGTCTGCATGCATGACCATGTCTGCATGCACCACCCTCGCGATCAACGGCCAATCCACCAGGCCGCTGCATCGCGGCCAGAGGTGCTCGCGCGAGGAAGCAGCAAGCCAGAGAGGGAAAGCAACGGCAGCAACACCCGAGCCACGAAGGACAGCGCCACGACCTCCACATTGTGCTTCTTGATGCGACTCTCCCTTTGCGCCGCTTCAACAATGTAGCAGGAGAGACAAGGGCAACGAAACACCAGGCCAAGGGAGCAACTCACCAGGGCGAGGAAGAAGCGCGCCACCACCTCCCCGCTGCGGATCTGAGGGTGCTGCAGCCACGTCTTGCGCACAGCGGTGCGCTCGGCAAAGTGGTTGGTGGCGGACAGGATGCCGATGAACATGCTCACGTTGACGTCCCCCCTCACAGCGGGCGCCTTGAGCGACTCGCTGGCCTCCAGGTCCGCCGTGCGCAGCGGTGGGGCGAGCGGCAGCGACGTGGCGACGAACGACTTGAGACGGATGGCGCCGCTGATGGCCACCGCCGTGGCCTCCTCAAGTGGGTTGCCCTGTGGGTGGACGATTGGGGGAGAGAAAAGAGGAAAGGCGTGAGGGGGAATGGCAGGGACGTTGCTTTGCTGCGAGGGACTTGAGGCGAATGATGCCGCTGATGGCCACCGCGCTGGCCTCCTCTAGCGGGTTGCCCTGTTGTGCGGGTGAGGGGGGGTGTGAGGGAGGGTGTGTGAGGGAGGGTGTGTGAGAGAGGGTGTGTGAGGGAGGGTGTGTGAGGGAGGGTGTGTGAGAGAGGGTGTGCGAGGGAGGGTGTGTGAGAGAGGGTGTGAGGAAGCGTATCAGGGAGGGTGTGAGGGAGCGTGTGAGGGAGCGTGTGAGGGAGAGTGTGAGGGAGCGTGTGAGGGAGAGTGTGAGGGAGAGTATGAGGGAGTGTGTGAGGGAGCGTGTGAGGGAGGGTGTGTGAGGGAGGGTGTGTGAGGGAGGGTGTGTGAGAGAGGGTGTGAGGAAACGTACGAGGGAGGGTGTGAGGGAGCGTGTGAGGGAGCGTGTGAGGTAGAGTGTGAGATAGAGTGTGAGGAAGGGTGTGAGGGAGCATGTGAGGGAGCGTGTGAGGGAGGGTGTGCGAGGGAGGGTGTGTGAGAGAGGGTGTGAGGAAGCGTATCAGGGAGGGTGTGAGGGATCGTGTGAGGGAGCGTGTGAGGGAGAGTGTGAGGGAGAGTATGAGGGAGTGTGTGAGGGAGCGTGTGAGGGAGGGTGTGTGGAGGGAGGGTGTGTGAGGGAGGGTGTGTGAGGGAGGGTGTGTGAGAGAGGGTGTGCGAGGGAGGGTGTGTGAGAGAGGGTGTGAGGAAGCGTATCAGGGAGGGTGTGAGGGAGCGTGTGAGGGAGCGTGTGAGGGAGAGTGTGAGGGAGAGTATGAGGGAGTGTGTGAGGGAGCGTGTGAGGGAGGGTGTGTGAGGGAGGGTGTGTGAGGGAGGGTGTGTGAGGGAGGGTGTGTGAGAGAGGGTGTGAGGAAGCGTATCAGGGAGGGTGTGAGGGAGCGTGTGAGGGAGCGTGTGAGGGAGAGTGTGAGGGAGAGTATGAGGGAGTGTGTGAGGGAGCGTGTGAGGGAGGGTGTGTGAGGGAGGGTGTGTGAGGGACGGTGTGTGAGAGAGGGTGTGAGGAAACGTACGAGGGAGGGTGTGAGGGAGCGTTTGAGGGAGCGTGTGAGGTAGAGTGTGAGGGAGAGTGTGAGGAAGGGTGTGAGGGAGCATGTGAGGGAGCGTGTGAGGGAGGGTGTGTGAGGGAGGGTGTGTGAGAGAGGGTGTGAGGAAGCGTATCAGGGAGGGTGTGAGGGAGCGTGTGAGGGAGCGTGTGAGGGAGAGTGTGAGGAGGCGTTTGAGGTAGAGTGTGAGGGAGAGTGTGAGGGAGGGTGTGAGGGAGCATGTGAGGGAGCGTGTGAGGGAGGGTGTGTGAGGGAGGGTGTGTGAGAGAGGGTGTGAGGAAGCCTATGAGGGAGGGAGTGAGGGAGCGTGTGAGGGAGTGTGTGATGGAGCGTGTGAGGGGGGGAATGCAGTGCGACTCACAGAGCGGTACTGGAAGGACGCGACGTGGTTGCCGTCCACCGAGACGTGGAAGCCCTCCCAGCCAGCGCGCACAACGAGCACAAAGAGGCGGTCCTCGTGGAATGGGAAGGGCCACTCCTCCGTCACCTCCTTGTCCGCCTGCTTCATCACCTGCCAGGGCGTGCCGAGGGGTGCAGGACGGTGCAGAGGGGTGCAGAGGGGTGGAGTGGGGTGAATAGGGGTGCATGTGAGTGGATTGTGGTGCACGCGCGCACCAGCTGACGCCACTCTCACCTGCTGCGGCCATCCGGACAGCTTCTTTGTGTCCTTCAGCTGCTACCACCTTGCTTGCCACACATGCTCCTCTCACACGCCCCTCTCACACGCCCCTCTCACACGCCCCTCCCACACGCCCCTCCCACACGCCCCTCTCACACGCCCCTCCCACACGCCCCTCTCACGCCGATGCCACCCCACCCTCACCTGTCGCTGCCACCCCGACAGCTTCTCCGTGTCCAGGTGGGTGCCATCCGCGCCTTCAGCGCCGTCCATGCGCTCCTGGTCCTCCTCTGTGCGCGCCCGCTCCCGCGACCACTTCTCACACCGCCTCTGCCCGTCCACTGGGGGGAAGAGAAGAGAGGAGAGGGAAGAGAGGAGAAGAGGGGGAGGGGTGAAGAGGAGTGGAGCGCATGGGGGAAAGGTGCAGTGCAGAAGAGCAAATTGAACCCAAAACGCCAAACCCTCACTGCTTTGACGTTGATGGAGGCGTCTTGGAGCGCGCTGCTTCTCACCTCACTCCTCACACCGGGCAAATCCGCCCCAACGCTGAAGAACAGTCAACTCACCCCCAAAGTTGCACAGCAGTCACGACCCAAGTCACACCCATATTGCACTTTGGGGGTGCAGCACTCACACCCAGCTTGCACTTCCCTCCCTCTGCACCCACTCCCTCCATCTGCACCCACTCCCTCCCTCTGCACCCACTCCCTCCCTCTGCACCCACCTCTCTCCCCCCTTGACCCGCCTCTTTCCCCACGCCACGCACCTCTCTCCTCATGGTAAGTGGAAGCAAACCCTTCACACCGCACCGACTCGCCCCACTGTCCGCGGTAGCACGTGTTCTGCTCGATCACGCGCACCCCTGCACTGCCCCCCACGCTGCTGCTGCTGCTGCTGCTGCCCCCACTGCCGGCAACAACACTACTGATTCCGCTGCTGCCTCTGCTGTCGCCCGTCAGGTGTGCGTGCAGGTGGTAGATGCGCGTTGCCTCCTCGCCCTTCACCACCACCAGGCCCTGCGGGAAAGGGAGTGGGGGGTTGGATAAGAGACTTTGGGAAAGGGTTAGGGAGGAATGCTGCTGCTGGTGTCACCACCACCAGGCCCTGGGGAAAGGGAGTGGGGGGTTGGATAAGAGAATTTGGGAAAGGGTTAGGGAGGAATGCTGCTGCTGGTGTCACCACCACCAGGCCCTGCGGGAAAGGGAGTGGGGGGTTGGATAAGAGGATTAAAGGGGGGGATGAGGAGAGCGGGGTGAAGGAGAGGGGGAGAGGGCGGATGGAGAAGGGGAGAGGGGAGCGGGGAGACGAGGAAGAAAGAGCATGCGGAAGGGTGAAGGCGGGATGCTGCTGCTGCACGTGCTTCTGCTCCCTCAGGGGCGAGAGCAGGCGAAGGAAAAAGGGGAGGTGCTGCTTGAGAGGCGGCTTTTGAGTCCAGGTGAAACGTGAAGTCCCCTCAGGAGCGAGAGCAGGTGAGCGCTTTTGAGTCCAGGTGAAACTTTTCGACTCTTAAATTCCCTTCAGGGGCAAAAAAACAGGTGAGGGAACGGGGAAGGTGCAGTGGACGCGTGTCGTTCCCTCCCTCTACCAACACCAGACCCCTGGGGGTTAGAGGGGACAAAGAGGGGGAAAGGATGGGAAGAGGCGGAAGAGAGGGGGGATAGAGGGGAGATAGAGGGGGAGAGCCAGGAAGAGGGGGGAGAGGGAAGGAGAGGGGGGGAGAGGGGGGCTAAAGGGGAGGTTGAGGGGGAAAGGGGGGAAGAGTGGGGGTAGAGGGGAGATGGAGGGGGGATAAGTTGGAGATGCGGGATAGAGGGGGGTTTACAGGGGGGATAGAGGGGGGTTACAGGGGGGATAGAGGGGGGTTACAAGGGGGATAGTGGGGGGTTTACAAGGGGAATAGAGAGGGGTTGGAGGGGGGTTAGAGGGGGGATAGAGGGGGGATAGAGGGGGGGTTAGAGGGGGGGTTAGAGGTTGGGGGGGGGGGGGGGGGGGGGGGGGGGGGTACAAGGGGATAGAGCCCAACCCTATCAGTTTCGCCAAGCCTACCATATTCCCAAACCCGACCAGGAAAATGCCCCTCCCTCTAGCTTTGCGTCTCTCCCACTCACCACGCACCACCCCTCCGCACTCACCAGCACCCCCTCCCAGGCACCACTCCCCCCCACTCACCAGTATTTCCAGCATAAACGACAGCGCCGACCCTTCACTGCCCGTCCC